AAACATTGCCCAGTCCTGCACCATCCTTACGGTCTCTGTTCTACATAAGCCAATTGTTGCAATCGATCCTCTACTTTTTCAAGCATGGAGTCTTCTTCCAAAGACTGGTCCCTCTTAATAACATCCTAAAAATATGTGAGAGGAAGCTACATCATCCTTGCCTCCAAGGAGCAGCCTGGATGTACTTTCTTCAAGACCTATCTGCTCTCTTGGGAGTTCATGGATATTCAATATGCGTCCCCAACACCAATATGCAACTCCAAGTTATTGATTTTTTTCTTTGATTCTCAGTTATTGTCCAACTTTCAGATTAATAATAAGGAATTGAAAAGACTATGGCTTAGATCACGCTCACTTTAGTCTTTAAGAATTGATGTCTTAGCACTGTGCTGCTGGAGAAGAGTGCTGAATATCCCATGGACTGCCAAAAACCCTTCAAACAGATATGTCTTGGCAAAAGTGCTGCCAAAGTCCTCTTTGGAATCAAAGAGGCCAAAGTTTCTTCTATCTTCAGTACTTTGGACAAAGAGCTAGGTGAAGCTATTCCTTGGGGAGGGCATCATCATGCTTGGAAAGATGAAGGGTCAGTGAAGGAGAGGAAGAACCCAATGAGATGCATTGATGTGGTGACTTCAGCAATGGATTCCTGTGTGTCAGAGATGATGAGGATGGCACAGGATAGGGCAGCATTCAGGTTGACTGTTTATTGAGTTGCTATGAGTTGTACTCTACTTGACAGGACCTAACAACAATACAAGTAACATAATCTTCGAGCTCTATCAGGAAATTCTTTGAGCCTTCCTGATTTCAGCCAGCAAGATGGTATCATTAGTATATCATGAGTTGTTAATGAGTCTTTCCCCACTTATGATGCTCTGTTCTTCATATAATTAGATTTCTCAGAGTCTTTACTCATTATATAGATTGAATATTTATGGTGAAAGGCTACATCTCTGACATGTGTTTTTCTTTATTTTAACAATACACATTCTCCTTTTCTAATAACTACTTCTTGTTTTATATACAGGTTTCACAATAGCATAATTAAGTGTTGGAATTCCTCTTCCTTGCAATATTTTTCATAATCTGTTGTTACTCATACAGTCAAATGCCTTTCTATAGTCAATAAACATAGGGGAATATCTTTCTGATAATCTCTATTTGCAGCCAAGATCCCTCTGATGTCAGCATTGATATACCTAATGCCCCCTCTTAGGTCTGGAT